GCTGCTGCCTGGCGGTGCGTGCTGCGCACTATCGACGGTGCATGCTGCTGTGCAGTGCTGCCAGGCGGTGCCCACTGCTGTGTGTGCTGCTGCCTATGACGGTGCCGCGGTGCCTTGCCGGATGGTGTGACCATAACAACTTTCTCATGTATTAGTTTCAACTAGGCTGATATGCTTCACACAGGTCAAAGTTTGGAATAGAATGTTTCTCCAAAACTCAAAAAACAATTACTTCCCAAGAACTGGAATCTTCTAAAGTTGAAAGGGTACCTGGAATGCTTGTATTTTTTGTGGCACAAGTGAGTCCTCAGTGTGCCCAAGACCAAGTTGACCATTTTGATTCCGTCCCCAACTTCAAAAGAATAAAATGTTAATATACAAATATAACAATGCATTAAGTTAGTGCATAGTGGAAAAGTAAGAACAGATTTGCTTTTCAACATCATATTCAAACAAAGTTAGGTGAAAGATAAGAAAAACAAATAACTAAAGTACCAGAATATATGACTTAATTAAAACCATTTGTTATTAAGAATCAAGTCCAAATTAATACCCAAATCAAACCAGAATTTTCTAATGAGAATAAAAGATTTTTCCTTCAAGAACAGAAATCACAAAATTTCAACAAATAAACACAACCTGAAAAATAATTACAACCGATAAAGAATAAAAGTGACATCCAGGATTATTTGCATAAACATTTCATGCACAAGGTTTCTCCCACTTATTTCGTCATTAAAACTTTAGCACTGAACCATTCTATGTCATCAATTACAAGAACAAGAACATGTACAGAATTGTATCTAACTGACTTGCAATGAAGTCTGAGACAATCCAAAAGCAACAATTAAGAGAACAGAATGTTGCATGATAGAAGAATGGCATAGATGTTCTTCATTCTCTTCTTTATCTCCAATTATTGGGTAAGATCTGATGGATAAGCAACAGTTCCCGGTTACAAATAAAGAAAAAAACAAGATGTTAGCTCACACCAACAACAATCTCAGCCCCTCATAAGAAGAAAAAATAATAAACTTGCATAAATTACAGAAATCAGAGAAGTGAAGGCCATCAAATTCCTTCAACGTGGAGGCCCAAGAGAAAACTATTCTTTCAATCATGCCAAATTCAGCTATGCTTCCCTTTTAAATACTCTGTATTAAAAGAAAATAAAAAAGGCTTTATATGGATAATGTCACTTGAAAAGTTCCAATACAAGGTGAGTTATAGGACCATGGGCTCATGGACTAGGGTAGTGAAGGCATGGAAATCCAAAGAATCTACTATTTGATTGACAGATGGTTGGAAAACACCCCAAAACAACCTTCAAATAAAATATCCCAAAATATAGATGGGAAACCTCTCAATAAAAACCTCCTGCACCATCCCCCAAGCACTAGTGAGACCACTTCCACAAGAAAAATCCAACACATCATACATCACTACACTCCAATCATCAAAAGACAATCAAAGAGAGAAAAAAGAGATATAAAATTGATGAAAACAGAACCCTTCCAAGGAGAAAAAAAAGAAAGAAAAAAAATCGTGTCCTTCATCCCTATTTTAGAATATTAAGAATCTCAGTGGGATTAAACTCCCCAACAAGAAGGAAAGCCTCTCTTGAACTACATCACTTTTGTATATTTCCCCACAATTTTGTCTGTACTTTATTTACAGCAGATCTTTCATGGTGGAAAAGTAACACATGCTTAATGGTAAAAGAATAATTACTAAAAACAATCCAACAATCAAAGATTGATTACTTAGACCACAGGGACTAAGAATAAAGGAAAGTAATTTGAGGTTGATCCACCTTTATAGAGGCACACACACACAGAGTACCAACCTCTGCACCTCCCCATCCATAGTTACTGCCAAGCAATGACTATCTCCACAAGCAATTTGCTTTATCCTCACACCATGTAAGGCTTTGATTGATTGAGGAGTGAACAAGTCACTGGAGTTACCATGACCCAATCGTCCAAAATCACCCCTGCAGATACCAAAAAAGTTCAATATTCTCAATTTAGCAAGAGAATAAAGCATAACTGAGAATAGAATTTCTTCAGGAAACAGATTATACAGGCCATATAACTTGAACGAATTCATATTAGCCAGATAAGTTGAGTGACTCCAAACCAAGTACATTAGGCAGGTATAAAAAATGAGAAAACTACAATTTTGTGTCAGAACATCAAGGAACAGCACACCATAGGTATACATGATCCATCATTTATTAAGATTTTATTTAGTTCTTGTATAAGGTCCAAATAAGCTGAAAATAAATGTGTGGAGGAGATATGGGCAGAGACTTCATTTAACACATTATCTCCCATCTTCCGTGATTTAATACAAAGTAGATAACAGAAATACTGAGACTTATAAGAAGAATATAATGTAAAAGTTTCAGTTACTTTTTCTCAAAATAAAAAATGAAAGAGTTGTCATTTAAGCCAGGAATCTATATTTCTACATCACACTATACCACTTGGATAAACTGATTTTCAAAGAAATAAGTGTAGGCAGAACAACTTTTTTCCTTTATAATACTATGAGCAAACTGTTTTTACCTGGACTAATCACCAAAGTTCCCTTCACAATAAGAAGTCCTTTTACCCCATATCAGAGTAAAAATACATCAAGCTAGCACCCACGAATGGTTCAAGGATGAAACATGCCAATTTATAGACCTAGCAAAAAGTTGACCCAACCTACGAACCCGACCCAACCCAACCCGAAAAAACAGGGTTAGGGTCTCATATTTAGCTACCTGAATTTGAGAATGACCTGACCCGACCCAACCTGGAAAAAATTGGGTTGGGTTGGTCATGGGTCAACACGCTGACCCGATTGTAAGGTCTAATTGGGACTATTTGTGTATTCTTAGAAGCTTTCTCTCTTTCATCTTTACTATTTAGTCTTTACTCTTTATCGTTTACTCTTTGAATTGTTGAATGTTCAAGTTTTTTTATTTTATGTTTGGAAATTTTAAGGTTAATTCCTTTAATTTTGACATTTTCATGTAATTTTCTTTATTTTATAAAATTTCTGTTTTTTTAGGGATGACCCGAATTGACCCATGGGTCAACCCTAAACCGAGCATTTAGGGTTAGGGTCTAGCATTTACTGGCCCAACCCGAAATGCAACCCAACCCAAAATCAACCTGATGTGTCTTGACCCAACCCGAACCCGACCCACCCAACCCAATTGCCAGGTCTACCAATTCAAAAGATAAAAAAAAAAAAATGAAATGAATAGAGGCTGGATATCATGTATATTAGGAAAAATGAGTATCATATATATAGAGGTTTTGATAGCCTTACAAAGGTAAAAGAACCATTGACAACAAAGAATGGAAACATTAAAAGATGCTCTTAGTTAAGTTACTATCCATTATGAGATCCTTGACAAATCTATCTTGTGTCTACTTGTCTTCCCTTTAACAATACACAGTTACTTTAAGTAACTATTTACTATTTAGCATAGAATTACTCTGAAATATAATTTTGATTTTTTGAACTGTAAGGTAAAGTAATTCATTGAAATCAAAAAGACAAAATACAATAGAGCCCCTGTACAATGAGGGACTGTACAGAAAGAAAATCAAGATAAAGAGAAAACTATAAGCTTCTTACAAAAAGAAAATCAAGATAAAAAAAAAGAACAAGTATGTCTGTTTTTTGAATAATGGGTGATTTGCCAACCAATAATGTACCATTCCCAAAATCCTGTTAATTTGATTTTACAAATTCTATTAATAAATAGGAAAAAATGCTTAGGATAAATAATAATCAGACATATATAAGTTGCAAAAAGAAAAGAAACGAAAACGATTGATTGCATAACCCTCTGAAAAGAAAGTGACATTCAATAGCATAATTTGGTACTTCAGGTACAAACAACACACCATCCCCAACTATACACTTGAGACTGGGATTCAGAATATGCAATTGTATGATCAGCTCCACAAGTAACAGAAGCAACATCGTGGCCATCCAGTGCACTCATTTGGGTGGGAGAAAGTCTATCTTCAGCATCTCCATGGCCCAATTGTCCATCCTCTCCTCGTCCCCAGGAGCAAACAGCATTTCCAGCTGCAATACATTAACAGTTCACGTTGATAAATGTAAACACAATAAAAATAAGTTTCATTAAAATAGAAATTGCCTGTGCTAAATTGTTAGCTAAAAACCTAAACTACAGAACATAGAATTTATGCATGTAATAAGGATCCATTAAGTTAATATATCTTTAGATGAATGAACTAAATATGCATCCATGAAAAACTTTCAACTTTAAAAGTTTAAAACACAAAAGAAGCCATCCCTCAAATATGCAAGTGTTGGAATAGAACAAAAGGCTCACATGTCAATAGCTAGGTGGTCAAAATTCATCTTCCCCAAAGAAGTTTCTTTCTTGTTCTTTAATTAATTCAAAGAGAATTTTCTCAAAGAAATCCATCTGTTATGTTTGTGCCTTGAATTCTTTGTGGCTATCCACTTCATGAATCCGCTCCTAATTAATTTGAGAAAAAACTCGAAGGCAAAATTTCATAGTAGTTTGTGGTGGAAGCGTAGGGCTTGGGCCTTGATCCATATTCAACTTATAGGTCCGAACCAAATACTATGAGTTATGTATTTCGGGGGTTTTCTCTCTTGTATACTCAGTCTTTGTCTTGTGAGAGAAGAGTGAGACATTGGGTGTATTTGGGGTTTAGGGTTTTTTGTGAGTGAGGTTGTGAGGGCACAACTCTATATTTCTTCTCCATTTCTGATTACATAGTGGATTTCTATTCCTCCTTTGCCCATGGACATAGGCTATAAGCCGAACCACGTAAGTCTGTGTGTTCTCTGTGCTTGCTTCTCTTTATCTCTGTTTTACTTTCATTTTGGGTGCCATTCAAATCCGATTTTCTTGGGTTTTCCACAACACCACCTTTGAGATTATATAAACATTAATTTACTATTCATTGGCAACTCAGGTTGTTTCCTCTCTTAATTGTTCCATAAACTTTTCAAGGAGTGGCTAGTATTTACTGCTGTTCGAAAATCATCAATTTTGATTTCTGGAAGAAAATATTGGTATGTGGAGAGTGGATCAACATGCACCACTTTTAGCTATATTACCAGTGATGCAAATCAGTGTCGTGCACTCTTGCTTCAGTTGTACATGGGCCCTTGAATGCCCAGGTCTTAGTTATTGGAACATCAAGCTGAGGTCATACATTATTTTTTATCCCCCTCATCAAGATGCCATGTAATCTGATGTTTTAACTATAGAAGAGTTTTCATTAGTCAACTGAATAGCAAGTTCACAAGCCCACCCTAATGGTAACAAGTTACATATGAATGTAGGCAGATGGTGAAGTTGAGACAACAGAAGTAAGACAGATCAGTGATGCATACTCTCCACTATGAGAAAAAAAAGCTTCATTTTTCAGATAATTGACTTACAAAAGCAATCACCAGACACTTTTTCTGTGAAACTTGGTCCCTCTTGCACTGAATCTAAGAACTCTTACAATGCATCCATGAATATTCATGCAAAGCTTTGGCTTCATCAATTATGACCCCTAACATCAACCATCTAAGCCAACATACATTTTGGCAATTCAAAGAAGCCAATAAATTTCCTCTCTAGATAGCAGCAAGAGCAACAATTCATCCGAGTAGCATCTAACATTCCATAAACACTAAATCACTTCAGTTATAAAACAGCATTGGATGCCAACTGAAATGGAATGCAGTTTTCCATTGCATTTGAGATGCAAGTTCTTCACCTAAAATGGCCCCACTTCTGGTCGGCTGTCAAAACTGCAATGAGTTCATTTCAGAATTTCAAGAACCAAAGAGTGACTCCAATTTAGATGATGGCATTGTGGGGTTCCATTGAAACACCATGAAAAGCTAGAATCAAGTGATCCCAACTCAGACGGCATCCAAACTTGATGCGTAGAAACAAAAATCAATCACTTACCTCACATGCCATAAATTTTAAAGCAACACACAGGCCAAGAACAACAACAAGACTACATACTATAAAACATCTGAAACTTACTAAGAAGAGCAACAGAGTGGCTAGCCCCAGCCGAGATGAGCACGACTTGACGAACCGGCAAAGTGACTGCACTGTTGACTTCGTCTGCCATGTCCATCTTTGACAAAGATGTCAAGCTTTTCTCTTTCCCCCTTGTAAACTGGAGAAAAACAGAGAAACCCAGAAAGCTAAACCCAAAATTCTATCTAAATAGAGTAGTACGAGCGTGTGCAAGAGATATTTGGTGGTGTCTCTACTGCTCATAAGATACAAAGAAGAGACAGATGTATTTTTAAATGATTCTAGGGAGAGGACAAGTGCAGGTGAGCGAAGAAGACAGCCAAGAATTGAGAGTGGGGAAGTGGAAACTGAACAACATTGAAGACCGCCTTCTCTGGTTCGTGGTGGAGAAACACTGCATTGATTGCATGAGGACCCATCTTCGACGTGGACCAAAGTACGGTTCTCTGTCGTATATAAACTCTTCACCACCACCACATGCGTTCATCTCCCACTGTTTCTCTCATCTAGGAGGGCTAGATTTTTAGAAAGAATCAAGAATTCGCAGAGGGATGTAAACGTATGAGACGCCCTTCATAGATGGCGAGTACTTTATCGATTTTTCCTTCGATCCCTTATCCTTTATGAGGTTATGGCTCAACTGGTTCATATCGTCATGGTTTTTGGACCAGTCTGTGTGATTGATAACTGCAGCGAGGTTTTAAAAACTGACTCGAAACAGAACCGCTTTTTCCATCGATTTCCGTGTCGAAAAGGTTCGACGGTCTGGTCCAAAATCCAAATGGTCAATCCGTGATGTTTTTTAAATAAAAAATAAATAAAAGAAGTGGCTGGCGGTTCAACCATCTGGCCAACGGTTCACTAATTGATTTTTTTTGAAATTCCAGGCTAGATGCAAACGGAACTGGATGGGTGACTGGTTAACCGATGGTTTTAATACCGTGCTCTGCATTGATTGATGGTGATAAGGTGGGGTGTTCCATGGACCATATATGGACTGGACCTGGGCCAACTTTAGCCTGGTTCATGACCTTAGCCCGGTTGATTATCTATAAGGGATAGGGCTGCAAACGAATCAGATCAGATTCAGAAAAGGGTATATCCGACCCCCATTCGATAAGAAACCTGACTGATCCAAATCTGATAAGAATTTACCGGATTTTCAAGATTATGATTCGAATTGAAATATCTTATCGGATATCCGATTCGATTTGAATTGTTAATATAATATTCGAATTTGATGCGATAACTAAACGGATCAATTTTTCCTATTCAATCTGATTTGTTATGTTAGGATGAAGGAAGATATCCAAATCCGGCTCTTACAGGGTCGAATTCGGATTCGAACAGGGTCTGATCCAACTTATTTGCAGCCCTACATAAAGACTGAACCCGCAGGTACAGCCCCCCATTGGACTAGTTCAAGCTGTACCTGGGCCCAAAAGTCCAGAACCAGTTTAATATAGTGGGCTTTTGAATATAAACCTGGAGCTTGGAAAAGTCCATCTCCCAACTTGCCTTGCAGGCTGCAAATGGTTCAAATACATTTTCCACCCAAACTGAGTTAGTCTTGTTATTTTCAGTGCGTTCCAACAAGAAACTGAGAAAGTTTGGCATCAGTTACAAGCTAGCATTCTCTGAACCGAGATGAAGATGGAGCTGAAATAGGATTTGTGTGCATCTTCTATGAAGACTATAATATTGTAAGAAATGGAACACAAAGCAGTAGCTCAGGCCCAACCCATTTGGTTGCAGAGGTAGCACATGGCCAGGAACAGAAGAGATGAACAAAGTCTGCTCACTAGGGATAGGGAATGTGAGTGGATGATATCATCAAGATATGAAAAAGGTCTGTTCACCCACTAATTCTTGTTGTGAGGTACCATTATTCCAATTCTGATTACAATTCTTATGTGAACCAGACAGATTATGGGAATAGATCATTCCGATTCCAATTCCAACTGCAAATCCTCCATAGAATTACTTCATTTTAGGTTCTAAAACTAAAATATCTCCTTTTACATGTGTAGAAGAGAGTGGATGTGTTCCCACTGACTTAAGTATGGATTGTATTCTTCTAGTATTAATAAATTAGTAGTTAATGACCACCCAGTACTAAGTATTTTGTTTGAGACCCACTATCCATGTGGTAAATTTAGGTTAGCTTTTTTATTGATTTGGAGAATAGATTAGGTGAACTTGATGGCTGTGTTAGTGACAGTGTAACCAATAATAAGCCCCTCTAGATTTTTTTGTTAACTATCACCAGACCCATCTAATTCATTTCACCTGTTTGATCATGAGGAGTCCTAATTTTATCAACTATTACAATTGCATCCTTATTTAACCTCAAGATGGGAGTCATTCCTAGCTAGCCCCAAGAACTCAAATCACCATGAGAGGGAGGGCTATTGCAGTGACAGTGACCACCATCCTCAGGCCTTACAGAGCCAGAGTCCAGAGTCCAACCAGAGGCATTTCCAGATTGAATCTTCTTAGGACTAATCAAGTAAAAACAGTATAGAAGATCTATATTTCATTACCAACAGAAAATCAAACTTTCCATGAATTATAGCATTGTTGAATTTTCTAGCCACTATGGATATGATAATTACATGGATGTCAGCTTTTCAGTCATTGAACTTTGAGATAAGGGATCTCGTTCTGGAGATCATTGGAGTAGTTGATTGATGCTGGGTCCAAACCATGGCTGTTGGACTGTTGGCTGTTGCTACGTCCCATCTGCTCTTGTGCACTTGCTATGCCCTGTGCTGTATGCAACCCATGTTAGGCCTTAGGGTCATCTCCCTTACAATTTTCATCTTGGCCCAACAGTACCATGGATCCCTTTCAGAATCGAGGGCTGTTCCATTCAGGGGCCCTGATTGTGTTCTTTGCCCAATACCACCATTAATGGCTGTACCCTTCACCTTGCCCCACTAGTCTAGTATTGGAGAGAGAGAGAGAGAGAGAGATTGCAAAAAACCTTGTCTAGATGCGATTATAGAGCTCTGGACCATGCACTGTGGGTGAGATGGGAGTAAAATCTTGTGGGAAAACAATTGTGTAACTGCATCAGAGCAAAACCATATGAATTGACAATGGCATCACCAATTTATTTCAATTCTAATAACACCCACATTCACTGCACTTAATGTCATTTGGTCCCACCAAATACTGAACCCTCAACTCAAGCAGATCCAGCAATTGAATAAGAAGTGGTCCTTGTTAGACACGAATTCCCTCCAAGTCCTAGTTGATGGATGACAACACATTTTTGGGTAGGCACATTCTTTTGAATCATGTTCAATTTGAATGAATGTTTCATTAATGATTAGGCCTATTCACGGGCCGGGTTCAGGCCGTGTTTGGAATGGACTTTACCACTTAGTAACAGAAAATGCCCAGGCCTGAGCCCATGAAACCTAATATACATGATGCAATATCTTAGTTTTATCTTCTAATTCTATTTTTTTTTTTTAAATTGCTCCTATTCAATCACACATTTTGTACATCAAAAATATTGCTGCCCAACATACAATTATACACTTAAAGTTCAAAAAAAAAAAATCATACATAAAATATGAAGGTAAAATAATAAATTAATAATAACAATTCAAGTTATTACCTAATACCTACTACTAATATATATATATATATATATATATATATATATATTTACTATTATTTATAATATTATTATGCTTGGGCCAGGCTTATTTAAGAAGTCCAGCATGGCCCAAAAATTAATTGGGCTTAATACTTATCACCCGAGCCCAAGCTAACCAACCTTAAGATGGGCCTAAATCAGGCCACGTCGGGAAAGCCACTGGGCTACCGGCCCATGAACAACAAGTCTATTTATGATTGTCCCTACCATTCACTAAAGGGGAGTCATGCAGCATGGGAATTTTTATTTTTCTCATTTCTAAAAATGCTACATCAGCAATGAATGACAATGTCTTCTCAAATTTGTTTTCTCAAAAAGAAAACGAAACCCAAAAACATTTTCAGTGTGTTTCGAGAAAAATAAGATTTTTCAGTAATCTATTGAACCACAACACTGAAAACACTTTTGGTTACAGTTTTTGGAACTAATTTAAAGCTATGATGGATAGACTATAGAGGACATGCATCAAATCAAAATACATTTTACACTTAAATTTTAGGGGTTTAGAGTTAAATTTTAGGGTTTAAGGTTTAAAATTCAGGATTTAGATATTAAAATCAAGAGATGTCAGGGACTTTTGTCCAACCATGATAGGAGCAAAGTAAAGTCCCTAAAAGACTGTCTGAAAACAGCTGCAGTGCCTGAACTGAATGACTTGTGTTGTGACTGTTGCCTTTTAATAGATAAATTGGTTATATGATAAAATATACCAGAGTATGTAAATCAACCCAACATGTAATTCAGCCATTCAGAATTTGCAACCTACTCAGAGACCTATTCATTGAATTTAGCTACTTCAGACATTATCAAACAGTTCCTCAGTTTTCTATGTCTCCTAGCAAATCTACATCGATAGACATATCTGATTACATTACACAAAAAGTAGCATCAGCCAATTAATTTGTATCCGGGTTCTTTTGGCTCATCCAATTACACTGTCAATGTGAGCTTGTCTTGTACCATCAGTTACATGCCAAGAGAAGAGGGTTATGTTGACAGCCGACATTAAAACTTTTGTTAAACTCTTGTGATCATGAACCCTGATTTGTGCTTATTATAGAGTGTTCTTAGAGGTGTACAACGGCACGTGGGCCATGTTAGGCCTAGCATGATGGTTTGGGCCTAGCATGTTAGGCCTAGCATGATGGTTTGGGCCCAACACTATAGAAATATCTCCATCTTTACCCATCAGTGATAAATAACATTATAGTGACCAAAATACCCTTCCTAATAAAAAAAGCTAACTAGTTTTTAGGGTATTTTGGGCAATTGAATTGTTTTCAATTCCAATAAAATAGCCTTATCCTCCACCATTTTCATCACACTAATTCAACAATTCTCTTAATCTCTTCTTTATTTTTCATACTCTCTCAAGTTTCAATATCCCATTCTCTCAAATTCTCAATCTCTCATATTGTCATACATTCTCTAAACTCTAATTGACTAATCCTCCAATTCTTAACTTTATTGAAGTTTCAACAAGAATAAGGCTTGCTTAACTAGCTTAAGTATCTCAAGTTAACAATTTGGGAGGTTTGGACTCTTAGAATTGAAAGGCCTCAACTATTAAAATCATGTTGGGGTTTCGAACCGGTAATCTGGGTAAGTCCAATTAAATTAACTTATTTTTTTAGAATTTAAAAAAATGGCTAGCTCCTCCCGAAACCAATTCCCAACATGTTCAATGCTGACGATATTCAGTCACAACATGATAGTGTTAGCACCGATATGGATGCTATTGATATTGATGGAACTTCCACCCTTAGTACTAATACTAGGGGAAAGAAAAAGAGGACCTCTAGGTTGATTAGCCTAGTTTGAAAAATATTTAAAGTAGAGGATGTTAAGGAGAAGGGAAAAAAAGTTATTTGCCAAAAATGTAGGAAAATCTTTAGCTATTGTAGCAAGGGTGGTACTAGCCATTTGGTCAAACATTTGCTTACCCAT